CCGCGTTACCCCCGGGGAAAGAGCCCCCCGGTACCCATTCGACAGGAGGTTGGGTAGACCCCAGACACGGTCTGGACGATATGGAGACAATTCTTGATCCTACTGGGACTCGAACTCCGACCCCTCGGTCGTGCAGCCCGTACCCAGTCGCTATGCCGACTGAGCTATCCGGTATCAGTAGGATCAATAATGAATAATAAATTGGAAAGGAGGCTGAAGGAAGCGGCCGTGGCTTGATTTAAAGTACAGTATTATCCAAGTGTTTGCTTACAGGGACCCAGGAAATGCCATGTAAAACATCAGATATGATATCGGGTATCCCGACAGAGGTTAGAACTAGGCACCCCATGAATATAAATCAGAAACGTTACCGATTGAGCCAATTTTCTCTCTTGGAGTTCGAGACGTGTGCGAGTTAACTTCGTTTGCTTTGACATACTGCTAACCATAAAGTTAGTTCTGTCAGATAAAATATGTTTTTAACTCCCTCGCCAGACTCCCCGAAGAGCAGTCGCTTCGACCCTTCTGGTGAAACAGTAAAAATAATCGCCCGGCCTTGTAACAGAAATATGTACTCCAGACTTCACATAAATATCATCAAGAACACGTTAATAAACGTATAAATAGCGTAAACAAATCTTACTGTTTAGTTTCTGTCTGTTTAATTATCAGCAAAACCATAATAAAAACAGGTAAAGCTATCCATGTATCGGTAGCCGAGCGGTCTAAGGCATGTACTGTCTTCGCTTGCTTGGAAACCGGGATCGTAGGTTCGAATCCCACTCAGGGCATGGATGTTTAGTCTCTGTGTGTGCGTTTTTCTGTGTTTGTGTACAGGTAGAGGCCTTGTAACGAGCTGATCACCCTCCCAAGGAGTCCTACCGAATGTGTAAGATCTAGAAAAACCGAAGTGAACGGAGAAGTTCATGGAGGTAGGCCTAGGCCCACTTTGGCTGTAGTGCCAAGGGGGAAAAAAAAAAAAACTATACATGTAACAGGCCGTGAAGGCCCATAAGGTTGTGAGATGTTGAGGCTCTCATATTTTTCTAGACAATCGACTCACAGATAGCTGTGAATTTGTCAGCCTTAATCGCCGGCCGGCTGCCTTTAGCCCCCAGGAAGATTCCTGGTACTCATTTCTGTCAGAGGCTGAGTCGACCCCAGGGCCGTAGTGCCCTCCAATGAACCCGCGATCTTCCTGTAATAGTTTCGGAAAAGTTACATTGAGCATGAAACAGACGCTTCATTCGCAACGTTAGTTAGAAGTTTTTATGCTATGATAAGTATTTAGTGACTTGAACTTGATATGAGCTGAGACAGGCATGTAAAAATCTATTAAATATATTGGCTGGAATGTAGAAATAAAGTTAAATAAAACTCCTCAATATTACATTTCATGAAATCCCGTGCAAGGGCTCTGGATTTCTTTAATACGCACCGACAGAAGGAAGGGCGGAAACAGCGATTTTAATAGACAGGAAAGCAGAAGGGGATATAAAAAGGATAACTCAGTCGCCATCTTCCTAGGAAATATAGACATCTTCATTAAGAATTATTAACTGATTAGAAAATTTAATACGTTTAACAGAAAGAAATCATACATAATTCCTAGCTCAGAGACAAAGCAGAACGTTCAAGTTTAAGCCCACTTAAATAATATTCAACTAGTGAACAATCACCAGGCTTAACTTGTCACCTTCAAAATGAATCCCTCCTACCAAATGAGTGCATTTCCGCAGCCGCTGTCGTGTGGTAATCAATTCATCAATCAATCAATTGAAGAGCCCTATAGAGAAATTCTGAAATTATTATAATGAACCTGAGTTGGCCTGAACTGATTTCAAAATGACGAAGACTCTTGCGACAATATTGGAGTTTAACCTTGGTACATCTCAGAATCTCACCATGCAATATTACCTAACTAACACCATGGATGTAAATCCTTCTTGAGAAGCCTACAACTCAAGAATTCCTCAACATTTTATGGAATCCGAAGATTCATTAACGTGTTCACAAAAGCCCTCCAATGGTCCCTAACCTGAGTCAGACTAATCCAGTCCATAAAACATCATATAAATTCGCTAAGATCAATTTTAATATTGTCCTCCTGCCAACGTGTATGTCCTCCTAGTGGTCTCTTTCCTTCTGGCTTTCCAACCAAAAACCTTCATACTTTCTTATTACCCCCATACGTGCTACATGCCCCGCCCATCTCATCCTCGACTTCATTGGAATTTGTCGAAGAGTACAAGTTACCACTCCGTATTGCCTCTAAGCTAATCTAATATTTAATTTTATGGGAATACGTAAAAAGTACAGTAGATATAACATCGATTGAAAGTAGGTAAATACTCCGTCGAACGTCTTACAGATGTTTCAGTTAGTCACCAGCACGGGAGGTCCTTATCTGTGTGTGTGTGTTTTGGTATCTACTCGTGCACTGGAGCCGGGATAGCGACTACGGGCTGGACGACCAAGGGGTCGGAGTTTGATTCCCTGTAAATTCAAGAGTGTTCTCTTCTCCACGTCGTCCAGACCAGCTCTGGGACCCATCTAGCCTCCTATCCAATGGGTACCGGGGGCTCTTTCCCCGGGGGTAAAGCGGCCGGGGCGTGAAGCTCAACACTCACCTCCAACGTCAAGAAAATGTTGAACTATACGTCCACTCCCTCATATGCCTTCATGTCATACTCCTTAATTAGCTCAGCACAGGGACAACTTTAGTATTTTTAATTTATTCGTGCAGTGCTGTGAGATGGGTTTCTTGGTAAGTAGACCACAAGTGGATCCGGTACATCAGCGCCGGATGGTGGACTACAGAACGAAATATTGGCGGAATAAAACGACAAGGAGAGGAACCAGCCCCAGTGAAACTTCGACCGCCATGAATACCAGTATGGACTCTCCTGGGATTGCACACGGGTCTCCGCGCTGAACAGCCGGCGTCTAAGTGTCTGAGCTATGGCATGGCCCCTCTTCCTACCTCTAGCACTGCCCCCCCTTCCCCTCCCATCATTATATTCTATGTATACAGGATTATCGAGCACTGAAGTGTATGCCTTAGCGGGCTGCGACCTTAAGACATTGACTTACAGATAGGATCCTCGATTTATGTTAGAAACTCTCAAATGTATACATCGTTTTCGTTATGAGTTCAAAGCCCGCGCTGTCTACAGCTCAGCGAACATCACATCGACATTTGTCTGCTCATACTTGGCTCCGGATGTCTGAAGTAACAAATTCAGTGGCTGTAGCAATTCTCTCATGCTTCAAATCACAACAGCTTTCCTAGTGCTGTCCTAAACAGTCTAATGAGGGTTAAATCAGAACACTTTTATGCGGGTGAATTAAACTCTACGTTAATCTCATTAATTCGTTAATTTACGAATTTGCCACGTCATACAAAACTATTAGCTTTTCATATAAAACTCCTTCTTTCATTAGTATGTATAAATATTATTTGACCACCGCCTCTGTGGTCTAGTGGTCAGAGTTCTTGGTTAAAGATCCAGAGGTCCGGGTGAAGATAACTGAGGAGATGTTTCAAGGAAACAGCGGCTCCGGTCTAGAAAACTGAAATTAATGGCCATGAGGATTCGTTGCGCTGACCATGCGACACCCTCTATCCGCTAAAGTTGGCACTAACTTCGCCGACAAGCGGCGGTCGCTCGGTCGGTATGGTTCGCTTGCGGTCTAAAACCACGGAGTTTGTTTTATAAATATTATTTCCAGACTGTGGTGATTATTATGTCTTCTTTGCTATTTCAAAAAGGAACGCCAAGTGTAGAGATCATATATGTCCGCGATCTAGCAACATGGGCTACACCGCTGGATAATTTTCCTTAAAATTCCATATGGGAGACTTTCACTGTAAGTTCTTGGGAAATTACAATTTTAAACCATACTGATTTGAAAAAAAAAACATACAGTTTAAATCACACCATAGAGATTTCACATGTAGGCATTTCACAAAATCTGTTGATATTCGATATGTTAGGCTTCCATCAAAATTTTTCCAAACACTATAATTTTGAGACATATCGATTCCTAAAAATCGTAGTCCGTAAAAGGCTACATATGCGATTTTCCACGTATTCCATTAACTGTACACAGATGTAAGTACACATCCAGAGACGCACTTTAAGTACGAAATTTCTGCTGTTTTGATGTTTCTCTTAGTTTAATTTTCAGTTTCGAGCATAGTTCCTACCTAGGACTCGTGTTTTCCTGCATCCTGTTGTGTAAATCAGTATAGATAATATTTATTGTCTCCTCTGTCTACACAACACTATTTCCAGCAGATGGAGTAGCTGTCCAAGATGTCCCACACATATTTATTGTATCCCCTGTCAAGCGGCCTCCGTAGTCTAGAGGTAACGTTCCCACCTCATGACTCGTGGTACGCGGGTTCAAACCCGGTGGAGGTCGTGGAATTTTTAAGGGCGGAAAAATTCAGGGAACAAGTCCTCCGGGAGGGACTTTAAGCCGTGGGTCCCGTGTCGTAGCTTTACGGCACGTAAAAGAACCTCATATCTCCAAAGGAGGTCACTGAGCTAAATTCAAGGACATTTCCCGCCCAACAGTAGTCTCTAACGCCTCTGATAGATGGGGGAAGCATTATAGATACCGCCAAGCCAGTAGAGGCCGAACTCGCTGGCTCGGTCGGGACTGATGGTACGCACCAATATCGGTAGGGTGTAGAGACTGGTAGAATATCATAGAGGGAAGCACAATGGACCAATACTGGTCTCAGTGCATAGGGAAACCCACCCTCTCCAATAACTAACTAACTAACTAACTAATCCCCTGTCAACACAACACTATTTCCAGCAAATGGAGTTCCTAAGATATCTTACAAGAATACAATCAATTTTATCTAGCATCTCATAGGAGCTCAAAGTGTTCTCTGGTCATGTCCTAATTGACGACACTGAAAATGTACCTGGACAGTAAATGAACAATCGCAAAAACAAACGTCTGGAACATATGTGTTGTTCCAGGTATAGTGTGTCGGTGTTCATCGTGCCGCTAAGCGTCCTGGCGGCCACCTACTCCAGCATCTGCCGGGAGATCTGGCTGCACGCGGGCCGCAGTCCTCAGAGCCAACAGGGCAACTGCAGTCCTCTCATATCCCGCGCCAAAATGAATACTGTCAAGCAGATGGTAGCCGTGTTGGCGCTCTACGTGGTCTGTTCCGCTCCGTTCATCAGTGCGCAACTCTGGGCCACTTGGGATGAGCATGCGCACAGCCGACCTTTCTTCACAGGTATTTTGTTCTTCAGTATAACCACCTAACTTCTGTCACCTTAATCCTCCACTCTACTTTCTATATATCTACCCTTCTGACACATCTATTACTGCGGCACTAAATTACCTACCTCTCCATCCATCCATTTAATAATATACTGTCACGTGAATGAGTGAGTATAGATATGGTTTGGATTAGTAACTGGATGTATTGAACACTTACATAGAACTCGTAACTTGAAGTGACTCTAGCGCTATTGCTAATTCACTACAGCAAACACTTAAGTCTTCTCAGTCTGTTGTGTCTTCATCAGTCGTTGCTCCGTAGCGGCTTCCAACGGCAGACGTTCCCCTTCCTCTGGGTTCCCGAACTGTTCCCGTGCCTGAGCTACCGGCTTCTCACAGCAACACCTCACAGCAGTCCTCTAATTAAATCACTCACCAACCAACTCCACTCCACTAACTGACCAACTCGTCACTGACTGTCCTGCTTATAACATCTCGGCACGGACGGCACAGAAAACACAGTTCCTCTGTTTCTCTTTACGGGTCGTTTTCTAGTTGTTTGTTTCAAGGTCGTTGCCTAACAGCGGGTCTACATGCCATAATATGTACCCATTCCTGAATCTAACCCAGTGGCACCAAATGCGCAGGCTTCCTGTTACTTTGGCCGTCAAAATGAGCATATGAAATCAGCTGAGTGAAATCTGGTTCCATATGTTGAACGAAGTGTTTCCAATTCCATGTACACTTCTTATCTACGAGCTTCTAGGAACTCTCAATATGCTCTCTGTCCTGTACATTGCATGACAAAGGGACGGCCAGGAAATGTTTAACTGACACTAAAATTCCTTATTCTGATTTGGGGTAGAATTATTGTCACCTTTTGGAGAAACATACTTCTGAGGCGTAACTTTCATAAAACTGAAGCACATCTAATATAAACACATGCCCAAATTTAATACAATATGCATTTAGATAATATTCGTCCACTTTCTGTTTCCAAGCAACGGCCAAATATAGACATACACGTGAAAATATCACAGAGTTCAAAGCATCAGTGTAAAATGTCGACACTCTTTGCTCGAAAACAATAAATGTCGAGTTATTAGTTCCCAGTAGCAACAGAGTATTAGGATAATATGATATTATGCAAAACACAAAGTATCCAGTAAACAGCAACCTCAAGTTTCTCTTATACCGTAAACCTTACAGTTTCTCACAGAATTACTGTTTATTTTTTTGGACTTTTTCCATCATCCGGAATTCTAGGTAATAGAGGACACGACGATTCGGAAACTGGATCTGTTTCCGTCTTGGGGTGAGAAAGGAAGACGCCTACTAAGCTGGGCCCCTTAGAAAGAGCTAATCTCAATCACAGAAGTAGGTGTCTTCCTTTCTCGCCCGGAGACGGAAACATATCCACTTTCCAAAACGTCGTGTCCTCTAATACCGAGAGTGTCCTCTATTACCTAGAATTAGGACAATGGAAAAAGTCCAAAAACCCAGTAATTCTGTGTCATCCACCATCGTCAGAACCCTGCAGAATCTACTTACACTTTCTGTTGCATTCTTCAATTTAAATTTTAACGCCTGTAGTTTACAGCACCATCTATGGCACTGTAAATGTATTACTGGACCGCGACGGATTCATTCGGAATATCACTGCATTTACTCTAGTAACACACCTATCAAAGAGCCGGATGGCTTAGTCGGTATAGCGACGGACTACGGACTGGACGGCCTAGGAATGCGGGTTCAATACCCTGCATGGGCAACAGATCTTCTACTCTCCACATACCGAGTCTAAGGCCCAACCAGTATCCTATTAAGTGGGTACAAGGGGCTCTTCCTTTCGGGGTCAAGAGGACGAGGTATGAAGGTGACCACTCAACTCTATCTAGTGCCGAGGTCAAGAATGATGGAGCCATACCTCCACTCCCCATACGTCTTCTTGGTCTGGCGCTTAATTAATTAATGCATGTTCAATCTTACCTTTTCCCACCAATCAATGTACCAATCCATCGAAAACTATTTTGTCGAAAAATCAATATAATTTTTATATCAACCTGCCTGTACAAACTAATCCAGTTATTTATCCACGCAACCTATGCACCGAATCTAATTTATTTCCTCATCCATCTACTTAAAATCAATACATATATAATCATACACATATTTATCTATTTAATCTGTCGGGTGAAAGTTTAATTTATCCGTCCAATCCATCTGATGTGTGTAAATGTGACTTTGTAATCTCCCGTCCACCCGTCTGTTAGCCTCTATCATGTTCACCCTACATGCAGTAACTGTAACATAATCCCGGTAGGGTCAAGAATTTTCTCTTCTCCACCTCGTCCAGAGCGGCACTGGGGCCCACCCAGTCTCCTATCCAATGGGTACCAGGGGCTTGTTCCACAGGGGTAAAGATGCACTCACCTCCAACTAGCACCGACGTCAAGAAAATATGGATCTATACATCCACTCCCCAATAAGCCTTCATGGTGCTTTGCGTAATTACTTAAGCACGGGGACAACTTTACCTTTTTACTTTCCCTGATTTACTTATTTCATATTTCGATACAATGATACCTCCATGGCCGCGCCATAGCTCAAGCGGTTAGTCGCTGGCTTCCCATCGCGGCGGCCCGGGTTCGATCCCGGGTCTGGTCAAGTGGGATTTGTGGTGGACAAAGTGGCGCTGGGGAAGGTTTTCTCCGAGTACTTCGGTTTCCCCTGCCAATCTTCATTCCACCAATTGCTCCACAATCACCCTCACCTATCATCTGGGACTGGTAAAATAGGGCAGAAGTGGCCGCAGTACAAGGGACTTAGTCCCACCCCAATAGTAATAATATATAAAAAAAGGAAGCGACCTAGAAGTGACTTGTTGTGTAACTCGGTGAGTTACTGAATGACCGATCTGTGAGTGACAGTGAAGTTAATGTGATTGACTGAGCAAACGAGTTGTGACGTATCGTGAAAATTTTTGTTTTTGGCATCTACCGTATCTGTAATGTATGCCACCTCTTCAGTCAAAACCGTGCTGTTACTTTGGCAATGAATCTCTGTAATATAATTTGTAATATATATGTCTCCCCTTTTTCGATAGAATATTATGAAAATCGTATCTCGAAATGAATAAAAATTTCTTCTTTATTCATTCATAATTTTTAATACTGGCATAAAATTCGTATACTAAATTTGCCCGGGTGTGGATCGCAGTTTCATATACGCATACACGTCAAAACGGCGGTTTATTTATTAGTGGCGCTGCTCTACAAAGCTCACACATAATACTGAGCGTAAAAAATATTTTTATATCCTCATATTAAAGCTATTTATTATTCAGGAATGACTCTCTTGTTATGCCACAATTTTCACGTTTCATTCCATTCGTTGGGAGGAACTATTTAGAAAGTTTCGTCTATATTTTCAGAAACCGTCCCCTTCTCGTCATTATTATCGCCGTAGTCACAGTATTCACGGATTCTATGCTCCAAAGAGAATTAATATGAGACCAATTAGCACGCCCCCCCCTTCCTAAAACAGAACTAATTAATACAAAGGATCAAAATGCGGTCGTAAAGCTAGATACACTGCCTTCGAGACGAATTATACCACCCCGAAACGGAAATCAGCGAACCAAAATCTAGCCCAAGGTATAATTCTGTGCCAGATAACAGACCACTTCAGTAAACAAGATAATGTTGTTATGAGATATGTTGAGGTCAGAAGATGAGAGATGTTTAATAACAGGATACATATAAGCTTAGTAACATGTACAGTTCGAATAATTTAGACGCTTTCGTAAGATAATTTCCAGAAAACCAGTAACGGTAAAGTTGTCCTTGTGCTTAATTAATTAAGCACTACAACATGAAGGCGTATGGGGCAGAGGACATATAGATCCACATTTTCTTGACCTCGGCACTAGTTGGAGGTGAGTGGTGAGCTTCACGCCTCGGCTGCTTTACCCTGGAAAAAGAGCCCTCGGTACCCATTCTATAGGAGGCTGGGTGGGCCCCAGAGCCAGTCTGGACGACGTGGAGAAGAGAAAATTCTTTACCCTACCGAGACTCGAACTCCGATCTCTCGGTCATCCAGCCCGTAGCCAGTCGCTATACTGACTACGCTTTCACGGCTCCCGCAGAAAACCGGTACTTGAAATTATACAAAATAATGGTTAAGCAATTCGTAAAATTCGAAATTCAGCCATGGGTACCCGTTGCAGATATTACATAGAAATACAAGTAGTAGAAATGAACACTTACATGTAAAAACTTACGTGGGAAAACAATTAAAAATTACATGAGAATACGTGAGAAAGTTCAGGTCCATAACAAAGTCAGATTACTACACAGACGAAAATTTTAAAACATAATGCATATATAGGATTTGAGTTTCTCACGGCGGTGATTATAAAGAAGCCTGTCTTCGGGGATATAACACGGCGTAGTCCGTCGAAAATAAACTGACGTTTCGAAGGAAAATATCTTTCTAACGTATACGCATCGTGTTTACTGTGACCATTTTTTCAGGACTGTTCTTCACAACAGAAAAGAGTATTATTATTATTTATTATATTACATATTTTCTGAATGCACAAAGCTTTTAGGCCTTATTCGCTCCATTACCTATAGGTTTTCCTCCATGGAGAGTCTGTATGTACTATATTTTACTTCTGTCAGGTCCAAGTTGGAATATGCCTCAGTAGTTTGGAACTCCATCACCTCGACTGATGCCAATAAGCTTGAGCGCATCCAGCAGAAGTTTGCGTCCGTCTGTTTTTATCGTTTTTTCCCTCATATTTCATGTAATAATACTGACGCTTCAGAGAAATTAAGTCTGCAATCTTTACATAAACGGAGACATGACCTTGATACACTTTCTCTTGTTCAGGTCTTTCGTGGTCTCAAATCCTGTGCTTCTCTTTTGGAAAATGTTAGCCTTCGTGTTCCTCGCAGCAATCTTAGGGACTTCTCATTGTTTGGTGTTTGTCCCTCTAATAAACACTGT